GCGCCGTCACCACCAGATCATAGGCCGGCACGCTCTCGCGGTCCAGGGCGCCGTCCAGCACCAGCGAGTAGTAATTCTTGAAGGTGGACACCAGCTTGAAGGGGACAAGAGGTGTCAGGGAGCAGGTCACTTGCCCATTTAAGCCGGAGTCGCGGTCAGACACGCTGATCAAGGCGATGACAGTGCCGCGGGGAGCATCTTCTGATACTGGTAATGATAGTGATTTTATTACTAATTCAGGTATATTATCATTGGTGTCCACAATCTCCAACAAAACAGTGCAGTGACCCGTCATCGGGGGATTTCCTTTATCAATTGCTTCTACCTGGATTTCAAATGACATTTTTTCTTCGAAATCTATTTTACCCGTTACACTTATGTGTCCATTGACTGGATCTAAGTGGAATTTTGACAGAATATCTGCCGACGTGTCAGAACTTAAAGAATATACAATGTCTTTATTTATCCCTTCATCCAAATCAGAAGCGTTAACAATCACTGCCAGGGTACCATTTGGTACATTTTCGAATAATCTCACTTTGTAGACCATCTTCTCAAATGATGGGGCGTTGTCGTTTACATCCAGCACAGTAATTTTCAGTTGAGTTGTTCCAGTGAGCTCTGGCTTCCCACCGTCAACTGCCGTTATTACTAAATGATGCTCTGAAATTTCCTCTCGGTTTAAAAGCTTCTTCAACACGAGTCCCAGAGATTTTATTTCCTCATCATTTTTTTTAACATCCAGTGTAAAATACTCATTGGAGTCAAGCCCATAGGTCAACAGAGAATTCACTCCAGTATCTGCATCTGACGCGCCCTCTAGTGGAAACCGTGAACCCGGAGGCCTGGATTCGGAAATAAACAGATTTTTTATTGCCACTGGGAACACCGGCGCATTGTCATTAATGTCCTTCACCTCCACCTCCACGTGGAAGACCTGCAGCGGCTTGTCCACGATCACCTCCAGGTGGATGCTGCACCCCGCGCTCCGCCCGCACAGCTCCTCGCGGTCGATGCGAGAATTCACAAACAGAATGCCGTTCTGCAGATTCACCTCCAGAAGGTCCCCGCGGCCTTTGGACGCCACCCGGAACAGGCGCGGCACCAGCTCCGCCAGCTCCAGCCCCAGGTCCTGCGCGATGCGGCCCACGAACGTGCCGTGTTTGGCCTCCTCGGGCACCGAGTAGTGGACCTGGCCGCTCCCCGCCTCCCAGGCTGCCAACAAGAGAAGCGACAGCAGCAGGCGCCGGGTTCCCAAACCTTGTCGACAGGATAACAGCATTGCAAGACTTTCCCAAATATTCGGTCGCTCTAATAATTGTCCAGAATTTAACGAAACAATCTCAATTTCTTATTCTTCATTTATCGAATCTTCTTATCGTTCTATACTGATGATATGATGACGAAAAGCAGCGCCTGAGTATGTATTGCACGCAGTACCTTTGTGGAGGAAGACCTTGTGGTGGACAGCGACATCATGTGGTTAAGTGTGTAAGTATTATACAAACATTAATTTTCTTTTCCTTACACTTTGAACCTTCTCAAACTTTCCATTTTTACATATAATGTCCTTCAAGCAATCCTTAGTCTTTATATTTTATCAATATGTGTGTGTGTGTGTGTCTGTGTATACACTTTCATACTAATTAAGTTTTTTAAATTATGCCAATATATTGCAAACAGTACAACACTAAAGGTTTGAACAGCAGTGGGCTTTTATTAGAAATGTTTCCCATGTGAAAGGGCTTGCTCCATTTTTTTAAATTACACTATCCCATTAATTCTCACAATTCTCTGAGATAGGTACTAGTTGCCTCTTACAAATAAGAAAACGGAAACACATATTACCACTCTCACTGCTTAGGACTCAGAACCAGCTCCTAGCTGACCCTTCAGCGGGGGTTTCAGAGGCTGTAGTTCGCACAGGCGGAGATGGTCCATCTTCCTCCTGCGGTGGATCAAACCACTAGAAATGTGCCGCCTTTGGGTTAACAGCTCAACTTCTTATGACTAGGCCACCAGAGCTGCCTTATAAAGGCTACGTAACTTTAAAAACATTAGCTGGCCACTTTTGGGTAAAATCTTATAAACTTTTCCCTTCAAGGCTGTGTTTTATAGAAAAAGAATTTCTTTGATATTTTATACACATATTTTATGTCATTGAACTTTTATAAGAATTATTGACTTATAAAACATGTTCACAGGGAGCTCTCTCTGGTGGCCTAGTGGCAAGAAGTTGTGCTGCAATCCCAAAGGCCCGCAGTTTGAATCCACCAGATGCTCCGCTGGAGAAGGAGGGGCAATCTCCTTCTGTGCCAGTCTGATCTGATTCGACAGCACACAGCAAGTAAAAAAACAAAAACAAAAAAAAACCCAAACATGTTCACGTAAGCTTATCAATGTGCAAAAGTGTCTGTAAACAACTCTAGTGTTTTTTTTTATTCAAGAACTATACCCTTGCTAGCTGTCTTATCATTTATATAAAGATCTCAGAAGTCAATTTTTTGTTTCACAGTGCAGTTATTTTACAGTTTGTTTTAACACATGGTAATTCTGCTTGGTTCAAATGTGCTGAGTTACCATTTCACCAAGAAAGAGAATATTCTTTCTTAACATTTACATATCATTGACATTTTTTAATTCTCTTAAAATCTCACATATTAAATAAATGCGGGGTTTGGCCTTGTTTTATTACCTCTACTCTGGATGAATTTCTGATTCCAATTCCTTTAAATACTGTTACTAGAAAGCATTGATGACATAAGCAGTCAGGAAAAAAAGATAAGTAACTTTGGAACATGACTCACTGTTATGATAAATGTATAGAAGACTAGGCAATGACACAGTCTAAAGAGCTCTGTCAATACAATGACAGGTATTCACTCTCTAAGCATCTGAAAGTTAAGCAGTGAATCTTCATTGGAAGACTTTGAGTTTAGGAAGATAAGAGAATGTTCAAATTTTTGTCCCCAGGCATACACCCACAACAAACTCAACATTATCTAAATGTCTTAGTTATCTAGTGCTTGCTGTAACAGATACCAAACGTGAACGGCTTTTAACAAAGAGAAACTTATTTTCTTAGAGTTTGTGTTTATGTTAGAACTAAATCATAGCTGACTCTCTAACAGATTTTCAGAGGCTGTTTATCACATGGAAAGAGATTAAATTGCCCATCATACTCTCATGGAGGAGCTGGTAGATCGAAACTACCTGCCTTTCATTTGGAAGCACAACTCCCTAACACTAAGCCATCCAAGCACCCTAAGGAAATTGGAAGTGCAATTTCTGGATCTAGAAGTACAAGCTCTAGGGGGAATGCCTGTCTTTGTTGGTTCTGGAGGAAAGCCCAGTGTTATTACTTGGAGATCTCAATGTCTTGATCTTTCTCTCAAAGTTTACAGTACAGAGACGTAGGGCCAAAACACACAGAGGTTTTGGACATTCTTTCTTAGTAGTACTGATGTCCCCCTTTATGTTGGTTTTTCTTTTATTTTTCTCTTATAAAAGATATTTCAGGCCACATTCCAAGAAAATTCCTCTTAATTCCTATTAGGGTTATGATGGCATTAAGTGTGTTTCATCTTTAATCCTCTAATCCTCTTACAACTGCTTGATATTTCAGATCATGGGGGAACACTACCAATATTGCATCATTACCCACACATATTTTGGGGATATAAAATTCAGTCTCTGACACTTAAGTATTAAAGTATAAAGGTTTTAATGCCAACACTGAAGTTTTTGTTTTCCCTCTATACAAGCCTGGGTTGCATTTTATTCATTTCTATATTCTACCATTTAATTTATTATGATAAATTGTCAATGAAGGTTTTAATAAAAAATATTTAAATGAACTTTCATAAAACAATTAAGTAGGTTATTTTCATTAATGATATTTCTTCATATTAAATTTAAAAATAATTAATTTCTAATTTATTTTATTAATTCATTAAGTTGAGGTAAGCATTTAAAATATTGAAGCAGGGATCTAGGAAATAATTATAGACATCAGCATTCCAGTTGATTATTTTGGTTAAACTTGAAAAGCAGTAGCTCCCCCACCTCCAGGTGAGGCACAAGAACAGTGTTGTTGTTGTTGTTATGTGCCGTAGAGTCGTTTGCGACTCATAGCGACCCTATGTACAACAGCCCTAAACCCTGCTCTATCCTGTGCCAGTCTCATTGCCTCTGACACACCCATCCCGATTACCCCAGTCACTGAATCAATCCACCTCACAGAGGGTCTTCCCGTCCTGCGCTGTCCCTCCACTCTACCCAGCATGATGTCCCTCTCTAAAAACCTGTCTCTCCTTACAACATGTCCAAAGTATGTCAGGCGAAGCCCCAGAATCCTTGCCTCCAAGGAGCAGCCTGGTTTAACCCTCTCTAGGATGAATCTGTTGGTTTTCTTGGCAGTCCATGGTACATTCAATACTCTTCTCCAGCACCACAGCTCAAAGGCGTCAATTCTCCTTCTATCCTCCCTGGTCATTGTCCAACTCTCTGATGCATAACAAGTGATTGCAAAAACCATGGCCTATATCAGGTGCACCTTAATCTCCAGAGAGACACCGTTGCTCTTGAGTACTTTAGAGAGGTCTCTAACAGCAGACTTTCCCGTCGCAATACATCTGATTTCCTGGCTACTGGTTCCAGGAGTGTTGACCGTGGAGCCGAGCAAACTGAAGCTGTGAACACTCTCAATCTCCTCGCCATCCATCCTGATGCTACCGATTGGTCCGGTGGTGAGAATTTTTGTCTTCTTGACATTGAGCCTCAGTCCATATTGAAGGCTGCAGTCCTTAACCCTCTGCAGTAAGTGCATGAGGTCCTCCTCAGTTGCTTTTTTAAAAAATGAAAGACAAAATAAACATTTTAAAACAATATGCATTCTCTTAGATAGCTTTACTTTTTTAAAAAATGCAAAAAAGTATAAAAAGTTAATAAGAATTGATGGACCAATGGCTCTCTGGGGATCTGGTTACACATAACTATAACTTCCAAAGTTTTTTTAAAATTATTATTTCTTTATGGTGGATATGTAATGGCGAGGCTACCAGTAGGGCAAAGTCCATGTTATCATTCACATATTCTGTACAGGAGTCTCAAGAAGGTACAGAGAAGCCACATTACTCTGGGCAGGACAGCTTCTTCCAAGAAAGAACTTTTTTCTTTTCCAAGGCATTTATTTTTCTTTGTAACTGTATTAAAGGAAAGTTTCTTTTACCAGGAAATGCATATTCTCTGAATCTTACAGTTTATCAACTTGAAGGACCTTAGAGGTTTCCTATAGGAATATATTATCCTTAAGTGGAATTAATGACTTCCTCAGCAAGCTTTTTAATGCCTTTAAAGCAGATGGATTGAGAAATTATGGTACATTCACACAATAGAATACTACGCAGCACACAGGAGCAATGATTTTTGTAAATTATTACCTAGCTTGGAGGGATTGGAGAGCATTATGCTAAGTGAACTGACTCAGTTCCACAAGGAAAAAATATTGTATAAAACTATTATTGTAGAATGAGTGTGAGGATCTAAAGAGGAAGAGGGTAGAAACATAGAGAGGTGGATGTACCGCAGGGTAGTGGATGGGTGGATTAATCATGGGGTTGTACAATTTGATGATGGCTGAGGGAAATTGGAAGAATCTGGTCTGAAAAACAATGTATTCAAATTTTGTAAGTAAACTAGTATGTATATATGTATGCCAAACATATACTTGGACCAGGAGGAAATCATTAGAACAGAGCAAGGAAACACTGCAAGGTTCAAAATTGGGAAAGGCGTATGCCAGGGATGTGTCCTCTCTCCATACCTTTTCAGCCTGTATGCAGAACAGATTATTGGAGAGGCTGGGCTCTATGAGGAGAAATGTGGGGTCAAGATTGGTGGAAGATCTATCAACAATCTGCATTATTCAGATGATACAAACCTGCTTGCTGAAACTGAGGAGGACCTGAAGCGCTTGCTGCAGAGGGTCAAGGACTGCAGCTTTTAATATGGATTGAGGCCCAATGTCAAGAAGACAAAGATTCAATGAATGAATGGAAATCCAAAATCTCTGTAAATGCTCATTAAAATTATTTTTTTTAAATTAAAAAAAAAAAAGAAGAGAAAGATTTTCACCACTGGACCAACTGGCAGCATCAGGTGAAGAGATTGAGATTGTTGACAGCTTTCGTTTTCTTGGCTCTATAATCAACACTCTTAGTACCAGCAGCCAGGATATTAAACGACAAATTTCATTGATAAAGTATGCTCTCAGAGACCTCT